CTGGTTGGGAGAAAGAGTCCTCTTGATACTACCTCTACAGCAGACAGCTTGATGTTAAGGGATCTCTCCTACCCATACCTTACACTATGAGCAGGGGGCTCCTTTCCTTATAACCTTAGCACAATCCTTCATTGTGGTGGAGGCTTCTGCTACTCATGTAAGGGTTTTCTGCTAGGATGGCAATAGGAATCTTTCCCATAGGACTCCCTGGTCAAGCAATAAGGTTGTGTCCCCCTCAGCCTCAAAGGCTATACTAGTGGCTAGGATCTCTCAACCCCATTTCTGAGTGACAGTGGCTGTGGTATCTTTTCCCCAGCTACCTGAATCCATTTCCACCACAGATACTGAAGAAAAGAGTAGCTGAAACCTGAGATGTCCACAGCTGGGATAGGACAGGTCTCCTTTGGGGAGCTGGGGTCTGAGTAGCTGCTGGAAAGCTGCCTATTGGGTAATGTTTGGTGTGGCTTATTGTACTTAGTGTATTGGTCCCAAATATCAATTTATCAAATGAAGAAGTGCCTTTCATTTTCTGTTTCTTTGTAGGTGATACTTCTCATGGTATTGCCATACTATGAATTGTACCATCACTGTATGTTTGCTTTTCCCTCTGATTTGCATATTCCAGACATGTTCTTTGCCTCAAAAATTACCCAAATCAAAGCTCCAAGGTTTGGGCCTTGAAGCAAAGGTTTGGGCTCATAGTATTGTCTGCACACAAGTCATGGCAGGATTGGTCTTCAGTCATGGAATGCTTGAAGTTCAATATTCAAACTAGGGTTGGGTATTTGACTGGTCACATAGAGTTTGGTCAATTGACCGGTCACATATTGGTCAAAAATTTTTAAAAATAATTGCCAATAGGTCTAAGTAATACAAACACAAGTTTTGTATTAAGAAACGTGTCAAAAATATTTATGTTATTTCTAAAATTGTATTTTTGGTAACATTGTTATACTCTTTGGTCCAAAACTATGCAGTCAATTGACCCATCAGTTGACAGTATTTGACTAATCAGTTGACAGGCTTGCCAACATTAATTTAAACTAAACATTTCTTATTTATATATAGAAGTATCAATGACAGCTATTACATTATTTTCTAAAATAACAATAAAGGAAATAAGCTAAGGAAAAAATCCCAGGTCCCCACTAAGTTTATTGAAGATCCCAATACAGCTCTCTACGTGCCACAATAATGTAGTTTCCCTTTCTTCCAGCTGCGTGACATCAAGCGGTTAGAGGGTAGTTTGGTTTTTCAAGGTGGAGTAAGGTGGAGAAATATCGTTGAGTTTTTCCCCTCCCTAACTTATTTTCCAACTCTTGGAAAAAGAACTGCTCAGCTTTGGCTTTGCTCCAAGAAAACCAAGATCTGCTTCAGGTGAGTGAAATCAAAGCTGCCTGTGGCACTTCCAGTTCCTAGTTGGGAGATGAGTAAGCAGGAGGAGTGTGCTGAGTATGTTTGAGACAACAAGTCATTGCAAGTAGAGTAATAGCAATGCTGCTATTAGTATTGATATTAGGAATTTACTCTTTTAGAGGAATGCATCTTGAATTGAATGAACTTAAGACTGCAAGAAAAATGCATTTAGAGATGTGAGTTTCAAACCTTATTTTCTTTTTATGCTTTTGTATATTGCAACCATCTTCTCAGCCTTTAAGTAGCAGTGACGGGTTAGAAACTTTTTTCTAGTTTAGAGGGATATCTATTATTTACATTCATGACTTGTTCTCCTTTCAGTTGTTTGTATAATGAGTTACAAATGTTTAATGGATCAATTTGTAAGGCTGATCTTAGGCATCCTGTTGACATGCTATTTAAACTGAAAACAAAAGCTAGATGCTCTTAAAAATAAAATATTATTCCTGTAAGGCTAAATCTACTTATCTATTTTCTGCTTGATGTATTGGAGTGCTTCACTTTGGGCCCAGTTTTTTAAAGCTCTTTCAATAATACATAATCAGTGCATTCAAAAGTATACTATTAGTGTTAATATAACTTACACTGATGGTAGAATTTTGATTTGGGCCATATTCCCATTTTGCAGTTATCATTTTGAATATATGGTTTCTGCTCAACACCTGCAAAGGGTTTTGGAGATGCATGTTTGCTAAATGAAAAAATGCTATTAGAATTTGCTTTGTAAGTGATGGTGTGTTTGATTAGCGTTAACAAACTTGTGTAATTCTTTGCAAATATTGTTTAAGAGCATTTCACTGGATAGTACATGCTTCCGTATCAATTTACATGTTCTCTCCTATTTATAACAAACCCTATAACTGTCACTTCTCCACTTTATTGTGTGTTGTGGAGAGTAAATAAAGCAAGTTATTTGAGGCATGAAGTATAGTAAACTTGGCTGTCTAAATGTAATGATGGAGAGCACTGAATAAGGCTTTGAACCTGTCAATGTTTATACACTTGCTTAGCTCTATTCATATGGAGTTAATGCTTACTCTCATGCTTAACTCTGAGCACCTGCTACTCTTGCTTTGTTCAGAGTCCTTGCCTAAGAGAACAGTATTGGCAGCTTCCTTTGTCTGTGTGGAATCTCCACTAAACTAATTATTTCTTAGCAGGACAGGGCTACAGTTTTAAGTGAGAAAATGTTCCTGTTACTTGTAACTTTTCTTGTAGTTGCCCTTTTGTAAACAATGGCCAATTTTCAAAAACCAAATACTCCACTCAGTAACTCCAACTTTAAAGATGTATTGTGCTGCATTATCAGATATAGTTTATGCTACTTATATCTATAAATATTTATAAGCTTTTAGTTTATAAAAAATCATGAGATCAGAATAGTGTTAGTGGTATTACCAAAAAAAAGTCTTTACTCTGTTCCCGCACTAGAATAAGTTTGACAACATAAAAACAAGCTACCTGCTCTCTTTTTAATGTTGGTGAAATGACTACTTGTGAAATGAGCATAACATAAGCGCAGAATGCTTTAGTGATTCAAGCTAATACCATACCTTCAGAAGGGTATGTGGATCATACATTGTATATATTACAGCTGCAAAGCATTGATTTTTTTGGCAGGCTACAGTAGGGTAATTCATGGTCTTAATGTTGAAAATTAAGCACATGTGTACGTGTTTGCAAGACTGAGACCTACAAATATTTTAGTTATGATTACTAGGAGTAATCCTGAGTAGTCCTGTTGGTATTCAGTGAAACTATTAATAAATTTAAAGTATTATTCAACATGAGTAAAGGTAGAAAGACTAATTCTGGTATAGTGGCATCGAAATTATTTTCTTAAACAACAACAGTGTTTAAGAAATTTTCTCAACTCCTTCCCCTCTATGCAGTGCGGTCAGGCTGCAGTTGGAGTACTGTGACCAGTTCTGGGCACCACACTTCAAGAGGGATGTGGCTAGCATTGAGCGGGTCCAGAGTAGGGCCACTCACATGGTCAGGGGGCAGCAGGTCAGGCCCTACAAAGATAGACTAAAGGGCCTGAATCTACTCAGCCTCCACAAGAGAAGACTGAGAGGCGATCTGGTGGATGTCTATAAACTCGCCAGGGAAGACCAGTGGAAAATAGGTGAGGCTCTGTTCCCCCGGGTACTACCTGGGATAACAAGGAATAATGGCCACAAATTGATTGAGAGTAGGTTCAGGCTTGATATCAGGAGGCATTACTTTATGGTTAGGGCTGCCAGGCTCTGGAATGGGCTTCTAAGGGAGGTAGTGATCTCCCCTATCTTGGGGGCCTTCAGGATGAGGTTGTATAGATATCTGGCTGGGGTATTATGATCCCAGCACTCATTCCTGCCCAGGGCAGGGGGTCAGACTTGATGATCTGTTCAGGTCCCTTCCGACCCTAGAAACTATGAAACTATATATCATGTTGTTAATCTCATACTTACTGTATTGCTAAAGGTGAATCGTTTGATTCAAATTATTTGAACTTGGAAAAAAAACCCGTCCCTTAGGCTAGAATCCCTTGTAAGAATCTGCTAATAGAATATGTGACAGTGAGATGAGAAGTAAAATACTGTCACATTAATAAGCAATTAAGAGAAAAAGCAGAGAAAGGAAATAGAGAATCATAAAGATTCAATTTGCAAAATAGCAAAAGATGCCCTGGCGAGGGCTATAGTAGTGTACTTGTAAATGATCTGAAAAAGGGGGAGGTGAACAGTAAGATGACAAAGCCCAGAAGTGACACCGGTAAGTTAGGCTCAGGATGAGACTAAGGTTACATCTATGTACAAATACAGTGCAGGCAAAAGACATCCATGCTAGCTCTGAATGGGCAAATTAGCTTGCAGAGTTCCATGCTACTGATTCTGTGTCTGGTACCCAAACTATAGTGGGTGCTTCTGCACTATGCTACATCGGAGACATGTAGTTAACTGTATATTGTCTAAAGTTAGGCAGAAGGCAGGCTACAGCTATACCTTGTAGACTTACAGAATCAGAGGTGTATAATGCAGATGCTACAGCATAAACTTAATTTGAAAGGAAATTGATAAAATTTAAGGCTAAAGAGTTTCAAAAGAATAGTGTGAGCCACTTGCGTATTCCTGGCTGGATTCTAGATTAATTGGGAACATGCTTGATGACATGGGTGCATCTACCCATGTGGTAGACTACACAATTGTTACTGCTTAAGCAAGTACTAAATGACTGCACAGTAACTAGCATTACTGAACAGTAGCTTTGCAAACATGATTCATGCCCCGCAACACTATGTTGCTGTAGCAACAAACTATGACGCAGGAACTCATAGCTACAGTGACGTAGCTTCTTGTGTAGATGCTCCCACTGAAGTCAAAGGGAGTTGAGCACCTGTAAACCTTTTATAAAATGTAGCACCAGACTTTTTTTGTTTTATGTAACTCAGTATTCAGGAATGGGATTGAAAATAATACTGAGAGCATTAAAAAAAAATAGAAATATATAATTGCCTGGTTTACTGTGCTTGGTTGTAGTGATTCAATTTCTTGAAGAGCATAGTAGGAATACAAGAGATGCACAGATAATTAGTAAAGGCCTGGAAAGATTTCCACACACAGAAATCGGTCAATAACAAAAACACACAAATTATTGGAAAATAATAGGCTTTTACTTACCTTTTTTCTTGATGTAAAAATGGAGAGACAATAATTGAAACCAAAAATACAAGTTTTAGAACTGATAAAAGAAAAAGCGGAAAGATACATTCTCTGTCTTTTTCTTTTTTATTACATTATTAATATTCTCATGGAACTCACCGATATCAGATGCATCAGTGAAGTCATGCACTTAATACAATTTGAAAAGGGATTATGACACTTTCATGACTAAATTGCTGTGGTTACATTGGACAAATTAAATATTTGTTTATATGAAAGTGAAACCTTCAGGGCATAAACAAATTGCTGAAGGGTGTCAGCAAGCAGCTTCCTCTATGAGCAGATAATTACATAAGTGCCCATCACGGGGTTTCTTACACCTTCATTTGAAGCATCTGTTACTGCCATGCTTCAGAGACAGACTGTTGGGTTAGATGGACCACTAGCCTGATTTTATATAGCAATTTCAGTATTCTGTTGCTTCTCTCTTTCCATATTGGTTCAGTTATTTCATGGACTTTAACCCTGTGTTTATACAGCACACAGGAAATGTAGGCAAGAAGCAGCATTTAAGCCCATTATGAACAATGCACATGACAGTGCACATGTTTTAACCACTTGGAAATATTTCTATAAAGTAAATTTACTCTCACATGTAAAGAAGAAATTTGGGGTAGGGATGAGGGAGAAAGGCAGTTGGTTAAAACTTAGTAGCAATTTTGGAAATGTAGACAAGAAGCAGCATTTAAGCCCATTATGAAATATTTAGAACAGGGAGCTACTTTACCTGTATCCTTTAGTTTACAGTTACATTTGAATGGTGAAGTTGGGGTGTTTTTTTGTCTGTTTCACACCAGATGCTTCTATAGGAAGAAACCATGGCAGCATGTTTTAATATTAATGAGCTTAATCTTCTGGGAATTATTGTATATGTACCCTTTTAGAATACAAATTGTTTGTTTTGCATGTTAGTTATGCTAGTACGCTAAATCTGAGTGGGTTGCTATTAATCGTTAAAAGTGTATGCAGTGAAGCTATTGATATAGGTTCTACTTATTTTTTTTTTAAGAGGAAACCTCCTTTTACAGTGATAAACTGGTTTTATTTTGTGTTTTTAATGGTCTGTATGATGTAACCATGTAATGTCCACATGACACTAAGTTGTCTCTTAAGATAACATATGCTTAGGCACCTTTATAAATTATTAAAGCAAGCATAACATTTATATTTTTGATAGCATGTTCCCCAGGATAAGACAAAGTTGTTATAGTAACTCTGGTTTAACTTTCCTTTTCTTTCAGGACCATGAACTTTGAAGTCCTGAAATTATAGCTATTTGATGACAGTCAGAGCTGTGATCTTCCCTGAATGAACAATGCAGGCAATTCAAACAGTGGAAAAAAAAGTCACTTTTATAAGGGAAATACTTTTTACAGAATCTTTCATAAAGAAACAAGAGCTCAGCAGAAACCCAGTGAAAAAGCAACTCTGTCAGGAGCAGCCATTGGAAGGAGCTGTCTGCAGCTTTCAGTGCTGTACTGAGCATGTCCTGGTGGAGCACAGTGCAAGCAGCACATTATGCAAAAAGGCAGCTCTAGCAGATGGGAGAGAGGCACAGAACGCGTTTGCTTCCCTTGCACCACTGCTGCCTGAAAACAAACCTGGATTACTTGAGAGGCTCTCGCCGTCAGGCCGAGTAAATGAAATCCAGCAACATGGCTTGATTTCTGAAGGGGCTGGATTGCTAAAAATCATGGGGAACCAAGATGGGAAGCTTAAGAAAAATACAGGTGATGTGCATGAAGGAGAGGATGCTTCTGGGCCCAAGGATACAGAAGGCACAAAGAAGGTAGCAGGAAGCAAAAAGGGACTGGGGAAGCACGCTAAAGGAAGTGAATCTGGCAAAAAGAAGGGTAAGTCAGACTCGAGGGCCTCGGTGTTTTCCAATTTGAGGATTAGAAAAAATCTGTCCAAGGCTAAAGATGGGACCAGCAGTTCAAGGGAGGATGTGTTAGAAAGCCAGGCCTTGCAAACAGGGGAGCTCGACAGCACTCATTCTATTCTTACTAAAACTCCAGATATCAGTATCTCTGCAGATGAAGGGGGTCTCTCGGACACAGATGTTGATCATTTTGAAATTACAAATGAAACTCGGCCAGCTGCTGCAGAGGCACAGGATGGACAAAGGACCAGCTCCGGCTCCGATACGGATATATACAGTTTCCATTCAGCCACAGAACAAGAGGATTTGCTTTCTGATATCCAGCAAGCTATTAGGCTGCAGCAGCAGGGGGCAATTAACATTAGAACTGAGGAGCATGTCACCAAAACAATGGACAGACACATGGCTAATTCTCAAGCAGCCCCCTTAGATATTGAACGGTTTCTTTCAGTAACCAGCAGTGACAAAGAGAGTAGCCCAGAAACGGAACAGGCTATCTCGGCAATATCTGAAATTGCAGAAAACATTACAGCCAGTAAAACTGAAAGTGAACTGAAAGCAGCAGCTAATATGGGAGGGCCTCCTTGTGATAACCTATTGACCGAGGAGCAGGAACGCCTTGCTGCTGGAGTGAATGGGGTAGCTAACGAAGTAAAAGATCACCCAGATTTAGATGCAGCCGTGATAGAAAATGGATCTCTGGTAAATGGTTCCACTTTCCATTTTCCAACCTCAGCAACAGATTCAGATACTACAATTAGAGAAGTGCAAGCTGTTGATTTCCCAGGCTCTGTGAAAGATGATGCTATTTCAGACGCAGGCCATGATCCTGCCACTCAGACTCAGGAAGGGAAATGCAGCACATCAGCCAGCCAAGAGGCATTGGATAGCAGTTTGCCTACTGAAATGAAAAATGGCACTTTGTCCTCTGAGGGGATAGCGGGGAGCCCTGCACTAAGTTCCCGATGCTTCAAGCCCTATCTCATTAACCCGTGTTATGTCAAAACCACAACCAGGCAGCTGAGTTCTCCAAACCATTCACCTTCTCCATCCCCATCGCAGAGCCCACTTTTCACAAGGAAGGATGAGTTCTTCCACAAAAAGGAAAAGGCATCCAGCAAGAAGCAAAGGTCTGCTAGTTTGGCTGGTTTACTTAGTCGATCAGCAGACTGGACGGAGGAGCTATCTGATCACAAATGTGATATATCTAAAAAGGTAGGCTCTGCAGACTACTTGGAGCCCAGGGGGTCCAGGGAGAGATTTCAAGCAGAAAGAGTGCCTTTGACTCACTCAAGAAAGTCCTCAGGGGTGCAGGCTTCTACAGATACCTTTCCCAATGTCTTTACAGGTGAGTGACTTTTATTAAGGTAACTTTTCCAAAGTGACTTTCTTGGGTGGAAATAACATAAATATATATTTCAGACATTCTCAAGCAGCTCCTTTAGATGTTGCAATATGTCTGAAGGGATAATTTTTTAGTTTTGAATCTTTTCTGTACAAATAGAATTCATCAGCACTGCAAACACGTACATATGTGCACTTCTTACTTGGGAGTATTCCTCTGTGGCCTGCAACTAGTCCCAGTTAGTGGCATGTATGACTGTTCCCAGATTTGGGGTCTTAATCTTTTAGATACAAACTTAAGGCTTTAAAGCTTTCCCACAGGTATTATTCAGAATAATGTTCTTGAAAATTGATCCAGGATGTTTGGTTTCAGGCTCTTGGCAGAAACTAAAAGTTCAGAGAGAAACTGTTTTGTGAGCAAGTGTGTGTTGTAGTACAGTGGTGTCTAGAGGCTTGCTGGGAAACTAGTAGACATTGGCCAATTTTGGAGCCTGGTGTGCAAGATGTGATATTTGATACAAAATAGAAATGGAGTGGACAGGCAATCTTCACTTAAATTTTTATTCTTTCAAAGCTAGTTGATCCAGTAGACCTATCTGACGTGTTTGTGTATTGAATATAAAATATTACAAATTCCTTCTACAGAAAGACCTAGTGCAAAATGGGAAAAGGAGTTCAAGCACAGAGGTGGGGGTGGTATCATGGCCAACAAAATACTTAAAGTCTTAGCTCTCCTTTTTTAAAGACAATGTAAAATGGAGAAAGGGGAATATTTGTATTGCTATTTGATGCTCTTGGCCCATTTGCCATGTGACTCATTCAGGTATACTTTATTCTGGAAGGCATCCTCTGATGTTTCCTCCTTGGGCATCTTGTCAAGAAGGCTTAGCAGTGCATAGCTTAATAATAATCTTTCCAATAAAATATAACATGATTAGAATGCTCTATTATACTTCCTCTTACTTCCATCCTTATATCTGGGGCTTCTGCTAAGGAGGGGGAGGGGAAAAAATGATTGTACAAATAGAGAAGGCCTGTGTTGTGTGTTTGGAGGTATGTATGCAATGAGAATTCAACAATGCATACTAATAGTTTTAGACTGAAGAAAAATATAAAAATTAGCTGATATCAAGGGGAATGTCCTACTTTGCTACAAACAATATATTTACATAAATATCCTTTGTGAGACTAAGCCAACTTAACTCACAACTAGTGTTCAGACCAATTTTGGAAACAGAGATCAGTAAGATTTCTACCATACATGTTTCAGTGTACTTGCAAAAATGCAGTGAATACCATTTTTAGTGCTTGCTTTAGAAAGTAGTAAGTTTAATCATTTGCATTTTTAAAGCTTAAGTGGTGGTGTTTCTTTTGATAGGTTTTAAAATAATCAATGTTGTCACCAACTGTTTCTTAAGTTTCTTACTGAAAATGTTACTTTGTTCATGGCTTAGGTTTTAAGTATCACTTTAAATTTAATTTAGTGTACTACTACTAGTTGTGTAGTTTCCTCAATTTCTGCTCGACATGTTCCCAAAACAATATAACAGGCAAGTGTAACCTTTATTTCTAGTCAGTTTTACTAGTGATTGTTGTCCAACAGCTGAGTACTGCTGGGTTTGGGAAATTCATGGTAACGTATTAAAATTATTTGAGTTACAAAAATAAATAATGCCAGCATGCTTACTCACTCTTTCAAAGAAGGAAGAAACAAATATGTATGTGACCTTTGGAATTAGATCACAGATAATTAAAACTTGGGATCTAGAGTTTATCGTGAATTTTGCACCTGACTTCAAACCTCTCTGGAACTGAATATTTTAATGTGGGACCATCTCCATTTCACTTTGGATTTGCTAAATCTTTTTCTCACCATTAATACATAATTATCTGCAGTTACCTCCCTGCCAGTATTTTAAATATTCCTATAATTTTCTCTTTATAATTACTTAAGACTAACTATATTAAGATACCACCATCCTATGATATTACTTTGAAAAATTAATTTTATATGAGAACTCAAAGAATTTTGTGTTTTCAAGTTTTATCATAGCTTTTAATTTTTTCATCAGCATTTAAGCATTTATTGTTTTACCCCAGTAACTTTACAGTGTAATTGTGAAAGGAGCAGTGTCCAGTACAACAGCAGCTCTGCCTCTTATGGAAATCACTCTGACCCTCATTTGCATGTACATACCAGCTGTCTTTTCAAGCAGAGGGTGATTATACTTTTCAGATTATGCAGGCTGGTTTATGTTTAAAATAGGAAAACTGGACATGTAATTTATGTAGAAAAAGATTATCTCTCGTCATCTTTCTCTCGTTTTGTATTTTTGTTTGTAAATTGAAAAAGTGTAAATAATGAAGTAGTGTTACAAGAGCATTTCCTATGTTCTTTTCCCAGAAACTGGCCTTGTTCTTTCATTATTGGAATGGCAGAAAAGCTTTCTCACTGAGAGCAGCTTTCATAGCAGCATTTTCAGAAACACAAAAAGTATGGTATATCCCCTAAATTTTGAATAGTAGGTCTTTAAGAAAAAAGTGTTCCTAGTGCAGTTAAATATTTGGACTCCCTAACAGGATTTATAACAGGATTTTATATATGGTGGCTTATATCTCTTTGCACATGGTCATTTTCCTTTGAGCATTAAATCCCTAGGCACTAGCTGCAGTGAATACATAATATTCTGCAGTTGTGTCTTGAATTGAGTTAAATATTCCACCAAACTTCAAGCACTGATTTTACAGACAGCAGGTTTTGAGCAGATGTCTGGCCTAGTTTTCACAGTATACTGTAGTTAGGCTGTGTACCATGTGATTTTTTTTTTTTTTTTTTTTTTTTTACAATGGTCCGTGTGTGTATATCAGGCTGCTCTGGCATATGACGTGTATGGTAATGAGCATGTGAAATTGCAACATCTTTAATCTGTAACTTTCCCCCCTAATTTCTCCCAGACTGGATTTAAATATTTTTGTTTTCATTAAATATAAAGCTTAGAAATTAAAAGCTACTGGCATGAGGTCAACTGTCTTGGCAAAAAAAAATGCAATATAGTTTGCCAAAAAAACCTCTTGTAATTTTGTATATTTTATATACAAATAGAAATCAGGATAAGCAGAGCATGATACCTAGATTTTGATGCACCCACTAAGGGTGATGTGTGGACTGGTTTATAGAACACTCTGAAATTTTTTTGTGTATGTTTGGGGGGGGTTTGTGCTGACGACTGAGTTTTGAAATTGCAGTGACAGTAAATAGAAGTCTCTGGATTTCAAGATTATGCACAATAGGGCTATTTGTTTTAAGTAATAGTCCCAAAAGGGGTGCAGGAGAACATGAATGAATGGAAGGTTTGGATCCTGCCTTCCACTGCTGTAATATTGAGTGATAGCTCTAGAATTGAAAATGTTTTTTTTTTCTTTAGCGTGGAAGTGGAATGGTTGTCCTGAAAATTTACATACATAGAAGAGCTAATAAATTTGATGAAGCCCACTTTTATTAACTGCTTTTTATTATGCTGTTATTCTAAGCAACTCTGATAATAAAAGAGCTGGTAAAGCTTCCCATTATAAATGCTAGTTGTAAAGACTCACTCTGCCATTTCAGGTAGTAACTAATTAAACTTTGGGGTTTTTTAAAATGTTTTTCTGGCTGCAGTATGTTTGTTAAATTGAATGAATCAAGTGAGCTGAATTAAATATGTTGTATATAAAAAATGTTTTCAGATGCTTAGTCTTTTTTCCTGTTTTAGCCTTTAAAAAACAAAACACAAACCCACCAAAAACCTGAAGGCAGTCACTGTTTTGTAACTGAAACCTGTTTCATTCATACAGAGCTCACCATTTATAATACGTGTAACCTTATTTACACCCATTTTAATACCCTCCAAAATTGCCAGAGCCTGCAAAGAGATCATAGATTAAATAAGTATCTGATCCTTGTACCTCTTGATCTTGAAAAATTTACAAAGCTTGTTAATTCTCCAGCCTGTTAAAAGCATACTTAATAGTTATTTAAAGAAAGCTGTATATAAGAAAAATATATTTTAGTACACTGATATTATGTACTAAAGCATACCAGCAAATTAAATATTGTTTATTGGAAGCAACAGAAAATGTGTCATGTTATAAAAGAAAAGGATTGTAAACCAGTCAGCTACAGCTAAACTGTTTTCTATGTTTAATAATGGGCTCTGATGGGACTGATGAAATAACTGCTTATGCATTGCTAATACCTTGCTTGAATATTTTCATAGAAACATTGCTTTTTCTGAGAGTTTGAGATGGATGGCCTTACAACCTCAGCAATGTTAATGGGAATGTAATACTCCTTAAACTATTCTAATTGGGTCTGATTACATTTGGTTCCCTGGTCTTCATTTGTCTGACATGTTATTGAGACTCTAGGAGTGAAGTGACTGTATCTTTCAGATGACTCCTTTGTTGAAGAACATCAAACCTAAGGTCTGAAACACCTGATTTGGGTTTGAACTAGAAATTAATTGTTCAGGCTCACTTAGGGACTTTATATATGGGAAGTAAAGAAGTGGAGGGGAGTGAATCAGTCTGGCAGGTGGAGGAAGCTGACAGTAAGCTCTACTGTGCTAGCACCTGTGTTATACCTGTGGCACGTGGAAACTTGACTGAAACTAATCATTGAGAGAGATCACATACTTGAATACCTTCTCTTTTGTTGAGAAAGATGCTGATCATCTAAATGTGGATAACTAATGCAGTGACTTTTATGGTGTTTAACATCGTGTTACTCT